AAATAGAGTAAAAATTATATAAATGTTAAATAAATTCTAAAAAAATATATAGAAAATTATAGTTGGCATGGGGATTAGACAAGTATGTATATATATACCCCATCCTCAATTCCTCATCCTCTATTCAACAAATTGAGTATTATTGTACTTATACTCGTGCTCAATCAAACTAGATATTTCTCGTCAAAGTTTAGACGGGTTCGAATACTATTTAGTGTTCACTATTTTTATGAATCATTTGTAAAAATAATACCATATGTATTTCCTCAAATTTTTCAAGAGAAAATTTCTTATGTTATAAATAAATTTGTATTTTCACTCATCTTTCAAGTTGTTATAACTAGTGTTGGTCTAATTCAATTTAATAACTAAGGATCATCTAAAAATCATGAGTTAAAAAATTACCATAACATCATTCTTAAATTAAGGGTAGAAAAGAGAAATAAGAAATTAAGGAATATTTTATAAAATTATTTATAAAATAATTATAAATGTAAAATGTTACTTTTTTTTGTGTGGACAGTTTTTGTGATTAAGTTAATATTGATCACAATAAATATTGGTGTAAGAGATGTGAAAAGACTTATTAACATTACTCTTATAAACACTTTCTTTGTCTATTTCAAAGGAGTTTGTCCCTCAAATATTTTCTCTAGGAATGATCGACTTTCTTTCACTACTTTCTTGCTACACTAAATAATGTATTCACCACCTCCAATCTTTCCTATTTTAGTGTTATCATGGCTTGTGATGATAATGGTTGTAGAAAGCTGGTCTCGTTGTATCTCCACCACTTTTACTTTTATTTATAGTTCCTAGATGCATAGACAATTTTTGTGCAATGTTGAGCGAGGTTCATCACCATCGCTCTTATTTCTTTTGTAGCATTTTTTTGTCCCATTTTTTATTTTGAACGCAGTTGTTTTGCAATGTACTCTATATTGTATATTTTGAGATATTTTAAAAGGTTAATTAATTTATAAAATTATTTTGAATTTAAATTTAAATTGAAAATAATCATTTTATTAATTACTAGCATTAAAATCTAATTAATATCAATTTTAATAAGATATAATAATCTGATCATTATAATTTTAATTAATTTTAATGATCAAATATTTTAAAACTAATTGGTTTTAATTATCAGTGGACCTCCTATAAATATTGAGATTAATAGGAGTCAGATGCAATGAGCACTATTCTCTTTCTTTCTTTTTTGGGTTATAAATTTGTTAATACTGCTTTCTTAGTTTAGTACTAGGAAGATCTTGTTGTATCCTAGAAAATTTCCATGGAAGTTTATGGACATTGTTTCTCCGATGTTTAGATTTTACGCATTGTAATAAAATGAGTAGTGGGTGATTAATAACTAATGTATTTAATTAGAAGTGGGTGCAACTCCCCCACTATTTTTTTAATCATTTATAAAAATAATATCATATGTATTTTCACTCATTTTTTAAGAGGAAATTACCTTTGTTATAAATAAAGTTGTTCTCATCCAATTTTAATAACTTCATATTATTTGAAGAAAAAAAAGATTAAAAAACAAAATGACTATAACATCATTCTTAAATCTTAAGGATGGAAATAAGGAATAGGAAATTAAGAAGTATTTTATAAAATTATTTATAAATGTGAAATGATATTATTTTGGTGGATAGTTCCTATGATTACTCTAATCTTGGTGACCATAAACATGAGTTAAAGAGTCGTGAAAAGACTTATTAATGGAAACCTTTGGAGTAATCGGATTGATATGGCTTCTACTTCAAATTTCTTCCTAGGTCTTTTACTTCTTGACACTCCTCAAGCTTCTTCAAGATCTCTAATGGAGGTAGAGACCTCTGGTATCATCTTAGAAGGTGAAGAACTCTCTTCAAGTAATGTCACTCCAAGGTAGAAGATAAATCATTTCAACTCTCGCCACACTCTTAGGAAGATGATAAGAGAATTGGAAGCAAATTAAATAGAGAATTTAGACTTTTGAGAGAGAGAAATCAAAGTATAAAACTCGGTCAAATCTCAATTATTACCCAAAAGTGGGTTTTACAAGTGAAACAACCTATATATAGTGGTGGAGAACCTTGTAGTGCAAGCTAGAAAAGGTAGAGACAAGGTAGGGACACTTAGATCTAGTCAATCATAGAGTGTCAAGTGTCACCTTGTCCCTTTAGCAAGCCAAGAGACAATGTGTTGGAGAAGCTAGACAAGTAACTCGGCCATGGAGGAGTATGGGCAACCAAGGCTTGTTTTCCTTCATCTAATCCAATCCAAAATCTTGGAATTGGTTTACTTAGATTCACCAAATGATGGTTAGACCTAGCTAAATCAATTCCTTGGATTAAATGGAGAAAAACAAATCTTATATGTAAAATTTGGTCTAGGGCCACTAAAGGCCCAACTGCTAGCTTCACCTACACATTTTCTATTTGTTATCCCACTACTAAAACTAAAAATAAGAAAATCTATGACCCTTAATACAAGGTCAAATAAAGTAAAAGTCTCCAAGTAACATACCCTAAAATCCTAAGGATATGACCTACAAAGAAAGATAAAGGTGTCTTATAAATACAAAGGTAAAAATAATGTTATACAAGTATCTACTATATACAAGGTACTATACAATGTATATACAATAGAGACTATGAGATTAAAAAGAGAAATCATGCTCAATGCTCATATAGAGCATGGGTCTAAGAAGCACCTCCTTTGTAGAAACTTTCTCTAACCTCCTAACAATAAACCTAGTTAAAGGTCTAATGATCTTCAAGTGTGAACTCTCTGTGGATAGTCCTCCATCACTTATCAACATTATCCTTTTGTCCATTTCATAGGAGCTTGCCTCTCAAATATCTTATCTACATATAACCAACTTTCTTTAACTATTTACTCACACTGAATAATGTACTCACCACCTCTGAACTTTCTTATTTCAGTGCTAACATGACTTCTTAAAGGTGATGACGATGGTTGTAGAAAGGTTGTCCCAGCTTCATCTCCACTTTTACTTTTCTTTAAAGCTCCCAGACTTGTAGACAATTTTTGTGCACATTGACTGAAGTTCATGACCATCGCTCTTGTATCTCTTGTAGCACCTTTTTTGTCCCATTTTCACTATTTTGAACCATTACTCTTTTGCACTTCAAGCTTCTTAAACACCCGACAAAAGAAAGCAATGAAATGATGACGGAAGGTATCATTGTTTCTCTAATATTTAGACAGAAAAATAGTTGTTTCTTTGACATTTAATAAAATGAGGAGTTGAGAGTAGATGGAGGCTTGAGAGTAGGGATGGTAATGGGGCGGGGCATGTACAATTTTTAATATCCCCGTCCTGGTTCTGATACCTTATACCCATTCTTTTCCCCATATCCAACATATATGAAATTCGCATCTCATCCTCATTCCTATCACGTACTTGCAAAAAAATTAATTAAATCTTTTTTCAAAAAAATATTAAAAAATTCAACATAGAATATCAATTAAAAAATTGTATTAATTAAAATTTATTTTAAATAAATTTAAAAATAGAGTAAGAATAACATAAATGATAAGTAAGTTCTAAAAAACATAAATTAAGTTTTTAAAAATTTAAAGTGAGAATGAATATGGGATGGATATGTATATATCCATCATCGTCCCCGATTCAATTAATTGAGTATTACATGTACTTATGTCAATCAAACCGAATATTACTTGTCAACCTTGAGATGGGTTTGGACATTATTCACAAGTACAAATTTATTTGTCATCCCTAATTGTCAATTTTGCAGATCCAAAAATCATATTAATTTGATTCAAGAGTGATAATATATATATATATATATATATATATATGAGGAAGGATTCGTTTATTCCACCATACTTACTTCATCAAATAACTCATGTTTTACATCAAATTTTAATTATTCAATCGTTAATTTAAATGTTTTTAATGTATAGATAAGTCTGCAAATTTTAAAAAAAATGAAAATTGTTTGATACTTTATTGAATGGTTGGATTGCTAATATTTGATATATACATTAAGAACTTTAAATTTGATCCTTAAAATTAGATTAACATATAAAATACTTCTATGATTATATGTCAATTTGAATTAATGAAACAAAATATCAAATAATTTTAAAAAATTTTAAAACTTTACCAACTTGATCTATACATTAAAAACTTTAAATCAAATGGTTCAATTGATAAAATTTGATGTACAATATATGTTATTGAATAAAATAAGTCTAAGTGGACTTATTCCTAAAATAAGCAAATATCTCCCGTCTTTATATATATATATATATAATACTTATTTTATTTTTTCTACAAATATTTAATTTTATAGTAATGAAAAGTAAGAATATTCCATAATTTAAATAACTACTTATATATTTTATTCAAAATATTTAATTTTATTGTGAAGTGGGAGCAATTGTCCCACTATTTTTATTAATCATTTGTAAAATTAATATTATATGTATTTTCACAAATCTTTCAAGAGGAAATTACATTGTTTTATAAATAAATCCTTATTTCCACTAATTTTTCAAGTTGTTATAGATAAAGTTGTTTTAATTCAATTTAATAACTAAAGATTGTCTCAAAAAAAAAGTTAAAAAAAACTACCATGCCATCATTATTAAATCTAAGGATAGAAAAGATAAATGAGAAATTAAGAAATATTTTATTATATATATATATATATATATTAATGTAATTTTTTTTTTACAAATACTTAATTTTACTGTGAAGTATTATGTATTATTAGTTTCTTCAAATAAAACAAAAAAAAACATAATCAACATGACTAATATAATACATCAGATTTCATAAGCTCATAAAATTAAAATAAAGGAAAATACAAAAATTGAACAAAAACTAAGCTTCTAAAATATTTAAATCTATATGTTAAGAAATAATTGTTTCCATAAATTCAATTACCAATCCAATTATAATTGATTTGATTCATATTTAAAATATTAAAAAAAATAAAATAAAATGCTCAAACTAATCTGAACTAATTTAATTGATTTAATTTAAATTGTCAAGTTCCTGAGAAATCTTTTCCAGAGCACACTACTCAAAACTGGCAAATTTGCAAAAATAATAATGTCAAATATGCGCTCTCCCAATCAGTTATCTTACAGGCTATACTTGTAATAGGAAAACAAGATACTTCCATCTACCTAAAAGATTCAAAATTGGAAAATTTAGGAAAGATAATGTACAGCTAATCAACAATATCAGCTCTTGAATCTGATGCTTCTGCTGATAGCTGCATTAATTCCAGAGGATTCCCCACCATAAGGAGCAGTGGGCCTCTTGATACTCTGAACCTGCCCCTTCCGATTCTTAACAGCTTTTTGATGCTTGAGCTGCACATTGTGATAGCGAGAAAAAGACAAATGTCAGACAAGAAACACACCAGTTAACCAATAAAATTTGAGGAGTTTGTAACCTTAAAGAATAAATGCTTCCAGTCAAACAAAGTACCTTGTAATTCTTTCTGGGATTCTTTTTTGCCTTATTGCGATTTCGAGTTAGTCCCCTGTTCTTCTCCATCTACAGTATATTGGTAACAAAGTCAAAACTTGCAATTTTGTAAGAAATGAACAATTCAATTAATAAACATAGTAGATTGAGTAAGAACCTGAGAAGAAATTAGGCGCTTTCCTTCTACAGTCTCTGGCAATGAGGAGACTGATGTATTCCTGTAAAAGCAAAACAATCTTTATTACAAAATTGAAGACGGTGGCAGCAATAAAATTGAAATAGCTAAGGAAAATTACAACATAATATATCCTGAAACAGTTACAGAAGAGCCAAAAGGGTAAAAAACTTCACCTCGAGTAAGTCTCAGCTTTTGCTGCAAGTTTTGCAGCTCGCAGTTGTTCCACTTGTTTGTAAAATTCATTTTCTGAGTCCCCACTTCCAGCACCATCTTCATTGGTAACCTCATTAGGTCCAAGATCACCCATTTGATCATCATTACCATTATTATCACCATCATCATCATCATCATCCTCGGTCGTAATTCCAGCACCAGCCAACACCCGAAGCTCATGTTTCCTTCTTCTTTCACCAATATCATCTCTCTTTGGTAAATCATCGTCACCAGAAACCACCTTAATCCAAAATAGGGACCAGTTAGATGTTTCAAAAGCAGATGATGTAAAAAGTGAAAAAAATTTAATCCTACAAACAATGGAAATATTTCCTTTTTACATCATGAATAGCACAAACTGCAGATACTGTACAACCTTCAACACAAACAATGAACTAAATTTGGCAGTAGGATAGGTTATAGTTCAGTGATCAATCTAATTTATTATGATATTCTAATTAATAGTTATTAGCTAAAATAACACAAAATAGTCACGATGTAAATATACGTAATATCTCTGAATATGAAAGAAGACTTTTGGGCTTGCTGTAGTATTATTAATTATGAATATAGCAAACAGATTAATTCAAAACAGAACTTTTTGATCTTGTTCGGATTGTAGATATAACTTTATTTCCATGCTAATATATGGAGAGAACTTTAAAATGACTCTTTTTGGCTTCCCAAAATATACCTCCACCTAGTGTAGTAGAGAGAATATCCAGAGGTATGGTTAGAGGTGCTAAAGGTGGGGGGATCCATCCTGATTATATTTTTTCCGTAATCCATACAAAAAGTCAGGGGTTTAACCCAAACATGGTTAAACCAACATACATTGTAGCTTACAATTTGCACGTCACTGAATATGAATTGCAAATGAAATTAAAAATCAGAATTCATCATGCAAAACTCTCATGTTTAGTACCTTGGGTTTCTTCAAGTTAGCACTAAGGAACTGTGAAACTTTTTTGGAGCCAGAACCATTACTCAATCTAACTTCCCCGTTGGCATCCAGAGTATCATCATTAAAATCATCATATGTTTCAAGCTGTCTGTAAAATTTGCAAGTGGCTAATAAGCTCCAACATGCTTGAAACAAGTAATGTAAATGATATATGAATATAGCTATACCCATTAACTGGTCTTGTACGCTTTACTGCATTACTAGGCTTTGGAGCAATGGAGCTGTAAAGACCCTTTTTTTTCAGTTTTTCCTCAAGGGAAGCTCTAACTTTTAGCATTTCCAGACTCTGTGCACCAATGTGATCCTTCTGCAATGTTAAGGTTTATTTCGATCAAATTAATAGCATTTTGCAGAAACAAAAATAAATAAAATAAAAAGGCAACACTTATTATATTAATAATATTATAATTAAAGAAAAATACAAAACATCATATGCCATTATCTATAATTCACCTGATGTTTAACTTTTCTCGTTTTCTGTACACCATCCTTTGAGGATTCCAATTTTTGCATCTCAACTTCCTTGTTAAGCTGCAGCAATACATAAAGAATGTTGACCGTTGAGGACAATTTTTTAAGGTTATCATTTGGAAGACGGATAAATAAAGGCCAAGATTAAGGAGTGATGATTACCACTGTTTCTTCCGTTGATTTGGAGGAGACAAAAGGCTGCTCTTGGTTTTTAGTGATAGAATCAGTTGTCATTGGAGCACTCTCATTATCTGACTTCACTATTGTTTCTAACTCATTACTTCCTTTAAGAATGTCCTCAAGTTGAACAGGAAGTTTTGTGTCAAGTTGTTTTATCTGTTGAGAGGCACCCATTAGAAAATTGGAAACTAGATCCTCATGTTAGCTAGTTTGAAAATAACAAGACCTGATCCAATAATTTCTTTATCTCTTCAAGGCGGGCTATTACGGGATGATCATGGACTGGCTGACCTTCAGACTTGAGGAGAAAGTAGAACGTTATAGCTTGGCAATAGGACAACAAAATAAGCTGCTTCAACTCAAAATAACGCACTTCTCCTTCCATAACTATTTCTCCCTTTTTAACCTTCACACAAAAGATAAAAATAATTATAAGGCAATATACTGCATTCATACATGGGGGGAGGCGGGATAATTACCAAAAACAAGAAAAAGATAGTCTATACTAAGAAAAGAAGAGTGTATACCACAGATATTATATTAATGCCATAACATAATACCAAGAGGCAGATCTAAAAACATTTCAAACAAAAAAGTAGTTACATTATAATGATACAGCAGTATAATTCCTAAAACAGCGGCCCAGTATCTCAATAAAAAGAATAAAATCAAAAGAACCCAAGGCTAAAAATTAAAAATGAAACAGAAAATGAAAGAAATGAATGACATATGCAACCACAGAAAAGCCTCTCTAGATATATTATTGATAGATATAAATTGACTGACTCTTCTAAAGAAAATAAGTATTTTCTATTTATACAAGTCAAACTCTTTTTACATGGTTTTCATGGCTATGGATCCAGGGGAAAAGAAAGGCCACAAGAGGAAAAACCTTGCTTAAAAATGGATTAATTTCACATTCGAGATGTCTGTGTGTCTCATTAAGTTCTGACAACCAACCAACTAATTCTGGAGCAGACCTGCAAGGAGAAGATAGCCACTGGTCAAGAAGCATAGAAAAATGGTAATATTCACATAGATATGTTTAATACAAATATATCAGAATATCTTATACTGTTTTAATTAATTGGTATATGGAAGAAATTAAGTAAAAGAGAACTATGGGTTGAAAAGGAAGAGTGTAGGTTAGGCCAATAACTTCAATAAAGGGGATTGACTGCTGATCCAATTCTGTTAGGATTCTGAATCCTACTTTAAAACATGCCCTTAGCATTAGGATCACCTTGCAAAATGGTTTCTTTTTTACAACATTTCAAAACTTCCACTCCAAGGGAAAAACTCATGCTAACTGGTTATACATCAGAATCATATTATAAAAACAAAAATCCTACCATTCAAATTTCAAAAGTAATTTTCCTCAAAGCAATGGCACTGAAGATTAAAAAATTGTTTTGCTGAATACTTAAATGTACTTTTAAGAGTGACATTAACTAAATTTGACTGTGGGAACTACAAGTGTAAGATCATCAAAGCAATAGCTCATATTCCTATTGATTTCCTCAAGTTTCCCTTTTTCAATTATTACCCTCAACTTGCAAGACTTTTTTCCAATAAAGCATGACCAACACTAGATTTCCTTTCTTTCCTTCTTTTTCTTTCTCAGGCAATTTCATTTGTTAATTTTTCTTTACCAATGCTGTTTTGGGTTAGCATACTTTTCTACTGAGGTCCTCAATCTTTTGAGTATATTGATACTTTCTTTTCTATTCTCCAAAGTTTTCAGAAGGTAATTTTGACTTGTCACCCTAGACTAAAGACTTCTCCAACAGAGCACAAACAAACACTGGATTCCCTCCCTTTCTTTTTTTGAAATGAAATTTACTTCAGTGCATTCTGTTTTTTTTAGTTGTGGATTAGCAATCCATAATTTCCACTCTTCAAATAATTTTTTTTATCTCAAGTTTACTTATAGTTAGGAAACATCAATTAATTTGTCAGATGTCATAGGTTCAATGCCTGAAAGGGTAACATCATAATCTATAACTCAAATCATAATCAATAGGCTGAAAGACAAAGCAACATCCTGACCTGTATAAAACATTCATTTGCTCCTCCTTTGACAAAGCATTCAGTTCATCAACACTAAAAATTACATCTCTATCAAGTGACTTTATTGCTTTGTTTCCTTTATCTGACGTATCCTGTAAAGATATAAAAGCTTATTACTGCAAGTTTTTTTGACAGATACAATACCTCTACACCTCAATCATATGCCTTCACAATATGTTGAATTTCCCTATCCTTCCTCTGTTATACTTTTCCTCTAGTGACATGGAAATTGACTAATGTTAGGTAACAAAACAATCAGATAATCAGCAGCACTCACCTTCAAAGTCAATTTCTCATTATCTTTGTCTTCACTTATATCCACAAGGTCATAGTCTTCCATTGTTAAAGACTTTGCTTTCTCCCGTTGTATTTGTAATGCCAATTCTTCCTCTTCTTTTGGGGCCTCATCATCACTTGATTGTATCTTAAACCAAAGGTTCACAGTTACTCAACAGAAACAATGCATCAGAAAACAAAGTATAAAAGTTAGATCACGGATCTACCAGGAGAACATCTACATAACAATGGTTTAAATGTTACATATGGCAACAACTTTTTTGTTTGTACATGCATTGCTCAAATACTCACCTCAAAATTACGATTCTCAGCACCATGTGAGAATTTTTTCCCACCCAAAGTAAGTCTATAATCTTCCTCATCTTCATCATCATCATCATCATGCATTTCATCATCACCTCCACCAAACTTTGCACGTAAATATTTCTTTTGCCTAATCACTAAGCACATCATACACAGATTTAGTGAAATTAGACCTCTTAAATAAATTACACTACAAAACTTGCACAAGTAACAAAGGGATATAGCAAGAACTTTTTTCATAAGCCCAAACTATAAATACATACTTAATAACCAAGAATTATAACAAACACAGCAAAAATGCAGAATGTCAAATATGAATTGACTAAAATTGAGCACCAAGATAACATAATTGTGCCTTTTATTTTATAAGTTATCCTCAAAATTCAAATTTTCTCTGATTTAACCATGTTTCAAACTGACCATAAGACTATATAAAAACATTTAATAAAAACTGTGGTATGTACAATAATAATACATATATACACACACTTGCAAATTTGTAATATTCTAGTTTATATTTCAAAAACAAGTTAAAGATTAATAATAACCTTGAATATGTTTAATGTCAATTGCAAAAAGTTGAATAACCTCTAAATTAATGGAACATTGTGACATGATGGAACATTTGACATTCAAGGTTAAAAAATACCACTATACATATCCTTTCAAGAAGGGGAGCAAAGTACAGAGAAGAGGCATGCATTGTGACTCAGTATCATGGCCCAGCTGCAGTTTCTTTAGCTACAGCACTAGAGTAGAAATGACATATTTGCATAAAAATGATATATGAACTTTGTCTCGAGTATAAGCCCGAACATCCATCACTATCAAATTTAATGGAGTACTTTGAAGATTGAAAAATATATGTATATCAAACATAAAACATCATACTTACTCTTTGCCAAATCGTCATTCCCATCATCATCTTCATCATAGTCGTCATCCTCATCATCCTCGTCTTCATCATCATCATCATCATCATCTTCATCTTCATCAACATCCTTTGACCAATATTTGAAAGAACAATAAATGAGACAAAAACATACAAATGAAATACAATTTGTCATCAGCTGTCCTATTCTAATTATTAACCAGACAAATTAAACATAAAAAATTCGATATGCCATGCTTCATTGAGTCTAATATAAAAAGGTTTCATATAATTTAAGAAAAACAGTTTATAGTGCCCAAACCTTAACATCGAAAATAGGGAGCTCCTCATCTTCATCTGATACTTCAGCATCATCATTTATGTCAAGGGGGACAATGTCCCTCTGCTTATGAACTGCCAAGCCAAATCATCATGCATAAGATTCAGCAACAAGCATGCCAGAATCACGAGAATTAGAACAATAACAAATAAAAGTGCTGGTCACAGTAAAATAAATAATAAGAAGAAGAAGAAGAAAATAAGTAATACTCGAAAAAAATAAATAAAATAAAAAAAAGTTACAGGTATCAATCTCGTCGTCCATGTCGTCACTCGAATAGGCATCACGGTCGTATCGAGAACTTGTTTTAGAGTTTTTGACATCTTTCTTCTGATAGCTTCTACTACCTCCTTTCTTCCCCATCCTATGAGTTCGTTCTGTTCTTCACCGCCAAACCCTAGAACTACACTTTCGTCTTTTCGGTCACAACAGAGCGCCAAAAGTGAAAAGCTCTACAAACCTGAGGTTGAAGAAGACGAAGTACAATAGAGGCCAGGCCCAAAAGAAGAAGCCCAAGAGAAGAACCGCCAAGTAGTATACAATCTCTACCTACAATGGGCCAACTATTGTCTCAGAGATTGGGCTTCACGTACAATAAAAAAAAAATTATTAAAAAAATATTTATTTTTTATTATTATTATTTTTCTTTTTCTTTATCACATTTCCAAATATATTTTTATTTTCAATAATTAGTATTTTAACATATGTATTATACATACTAAGTATTATCATATATAAACAAGAGTTATAATAAATTTTATATATATATATATATATAT